CGCAGCTGCACCAACCGACTCCGGGCCGCTCGGTTCTGCTCGGTGGCACTCGGAGGCATTCGGCCCCGCTCGGCCCCGCTCGGCTCCACTGGGGGCGTGGTCGGGGAGGGTCCCCCGCCCAGGTCGCCTCAGGCGCCGTGGGGCGGGGCTTCCGAGCGGGCGCGAGCCCCCGACGTCGCGGGGAAGCGGACCTTGGCCCGGGCGCATGCGTAGGCTCTTCGCTGCTTGGAGGCGGGAGGAGACGTGGGCCGATTCCGTGGCCTCGGCGGTTCCCGGCTTTTGTACTCTGTATCCTGGTCTTCCTAGCACACCACCTACGGAAGACCACAACAGACTATGCTTTCAAACAGCGATAGATTACGCCGGGACCCTGGACCCCTTGCGTCGCCCGCCGCTCTCCGCACTGGGGATTGATCTTTGTTTTAGACCACCAAGGCTTCACTGCAATTTTTAATACCCTCTCTTGTTTCTTACAAGTAACAATAGCCTGAACAAACTTTCAATCACCACTTCCTTGACATTATTCAGTCTTCCCGCACTTGAGCTTTCAAGCGTCAGCTTCCTTGGCTGCAATAACTTTGTCCTCTCTTCATCCGTACTGTACCCTGCACGCCTGGAATGAGGGTGGGGCCCTTGCTGAATTGTCACTTGTTCCGAACACGCTTTTTGTTGTGGACCCCAAGTTTGCGGCAGATATGATCAGAAAGTGGTCCCCACCTTTAGAATCCTGTAATTAATAACAGAGCTCTGTGGTCCGATACATCTGGATCCAAATCCCAGATATACATTAATCTGGCAGATTAACAATTAGCCGAGTGACTTTGGTTTTATGCCTCATCCATAAAAGGGCAATGGAATATTAGCAACTATGTAATAGGATAAGTGAAAGAATTAAATGACAGCATATATAAAGCTTTCTACACACCGCCTTGGTGTTCAGTAAGTCTAACTTTAACTTGAGAGTGCATTAGGTAACCTTCAGACCCTGAAAACCAGTGAACCTACACAAGTGTGAGCAGTGTGTCCAATTTAACATGTCCAGAGTCCAAACCACCGAACTTCTCTCCTAACTTGCTCCTTCTACAATCTTTCCCCACCGCAGATAATGTCAACTCATTCTAGTAATGGAGACCAAACCACTGTGGTCATCTTTGACTCCTCTCTTACTATCATATCCATTAGCAAAGCTTGTCAGCTCTGCCCTTAGAATTCTTTCTTCTTGTCCGTGAACTATTGCAATAGCCTCCTACCTATGCTTCAGCATTCTACTTGCTCAGCACAGCAGGCAGATGGATCCTGTTAAAATCTAAGTCTCTCTCTTCCTTTAAAACATCCAACAGTTTGCCATTTCAGGGTAAAATAATTCTTTATTCCAGGGCCTTCACCTCCGGTGTGATCTATCCTCTCTCCACTTACCTTTTCCTACCTCTCTACGTCCTCATTCCTCAGCCAGCCACACAAGATTCCTTCCTATTTTGGGAACATGAGCATCACTCCTTCCTCAGGACCTTTGTGCTGGGTGCTTCTTCTCCCAGATGTGAGAAATACACGTGCCCTCACTCCACATTTCTCCTCAAAAGTCACCTTCCCAGAAAGACTTTCTCACACATCTACCAAAGTATCACATCTCACCACTTATCCCTCTGTCCCGCCTTGCTTCTCCTCCTAGCCCTTATGCCCTGTATATCTCTAATGGCCCTGAGGGCAGGAATTTTTTTGCTCGTCTATAACAAGAACATGGACACGTTCAGGAACCTAATATATCTTGTGAATGAATGAGAATATATAGGATATGTTGCTCCAATCTATCTTATTTACTCAGCAAATTTTTCCAAGCACTTATGCTGATCCAGACACCCTGGGACATGCAGAGATAAACAAGGAACTCTCTTAACCCACGGAATTCAGTATTTCAGAGATGGAAATATACTTCTGCTGGAGGTATAGCTCAATGGTAGAGTGCATGCCAGAGGCCCTAGGTTTGATCCCTAGCACCAGGGTGGGCGAAAACTCTCTGGGAGGAAATATGCAACACTAGACGGATATGCCAACTGCTTCCGGGGGACACATGGAGAGTGCACAGGACAGTGTTAGAGGCTTCCCAGACATGACAGTGGGACTGGACATGAGGGATCAATGAGAAAGGGAGTCCGCGGAGAAGCAGCAGCATACATTTAATATCAGACAGAGGTACATCACAAACACTGTCTACCAATGCCAGGCATGGTGGTGCACACCTGTAATCCCAGCACTCTGGAGGCTGAGGCAGGAGGATCGTGTGAGTTCAAGGCCAGCCTGAACTGCATAGTGAGACCCTGTTTCAAAAAGACAACCTCTCCCCCCCTCAAAAAGAAAATACTATCTACCAGAGGAGGCAAGTTGTTCTCTCCTCTAAAAGATTAGGTGAAACAGATTTCAGATGATTCTTATAATGTCACTTACATTTTGAAGAGCTTTCTTAAGTGGAAAGAAACTGCCAGAAGTATAGTTTATGTGATGTAATTACAACCTGACCTGTATTCTATGGAAATGGACAATACCTACAAACTTTTCTGTGTCAGGGTCCAGAGGCAAAGAACACATATCTGTTTGCTAGCTCCAAGTACCAGGAATCCATCTGGCCAGTTTTTTAAAAAGGGAATGTTAGACCTTTGTGAGAGGGGGAGAGTGGTTCTCTTTCTGAGGCCAAAGATAAACAGAGCTTCTGGGTAGGTCAAAACCAGAGCAATGGAATGGAATAGAACTCTTCCTGCAAACCCATTTCCTCTGCTTTCAGAGCCCAGTGGGAAATGTATGTACCAACCACTCCTAAATATAGGCTACATTTCCAACTACATACAGAAAGACTACAACTCCCTAACCATTCCAATTCCAAAGTCCCAAAGAAAAGGCTCTAAACTGACCCAACTTAAATCAGGTTTCTTCCTTCCTAGAACAATTATGACCTCCTTATAGGTCATTAAGTTCCCCTGGAACACATCTCTCTGGATCAAAGGATGGGCAGTCACCAGGAAGGAAAAGGGGGATTGTATGGTTGAGGCGATAGCTTAGTAGAAGTCCCCACGAACCACGGGTTCCATTTGGTGGGAAACTCCCTGGGAGACACTTGAGAGTGACACAGGACATAATTATTCAATTCCTGATTCCTATACAAAAAGAGGCCTATTTGGGTGTAGCAATCAAAACAGGAAATTGTCCTTACTCTAACCTCCTGCCCTCCAAAAAAGACGATTGCCATACGCTCTCTGTAGGCACATGATAGAATCATATTTCCTTATGGCGTAGAAATGGGAGTGGCCATGTGACAGGCTTTGGCCAATACAATGAATGGAAGTACATAACTCCCAGGTCAATGGGAGGATCTTGATGAGACATTGTATACCTGAGTTGTGATCTGACAATATGGTGAATGCTACTAGGGAGTGCCAATCAACAGAATGGCAGGGGTCTTTAATATGAGAAGTGGTGCATCGAACCTTAGTAACAGTGTGTAACAAGATTCAGTGTGGTGCAATCAGTCAGTTGCTAGCTACATCTGAAGAGGATGTGTTTTAAAGTGTGCCAGAAATCATGGATCATGAAACAATGTGTTTTAGTGGAGTTGCAATCAAGCTGCTTCTGTTTCCAGCTTTTTAATGTGTTGCTACCTTTTCAAGAAATGTCATCACGGGAAATGAAAGTTGCATCTACAGTTATGATCCCGAGTCCAAGGTTCAGAGTTCTCAATGGAAATCATTCAGTTTTCCTTGAGCAAAAAAAAAAGAGTATGTCAGCCCTGCTCCAATATCAAGGTGATATTGGTTGCGTTTTTTGATCTTGATGTAATCGTGCAAGTTGCATCTATACACAAGAGCACTGTGGTGAACTCTGAGTGTTATAAGGGCTTATTAGGAAGCCATGTGCATAGGAAATAGCCTGACAGGCTTTATCCTCCATTTTGACAATGCTCTGTGTCACACATCACTTCCGGTATGGCAATTTCTGTCAAATAAAAATATTATAGTATATCCTCATTCATCTTTTTTGTTTTGTTTTGTTTTTGGTTTTGGTTTTGGTTTTTCTCTGGTACCGGGAACCGAACTCACGACCTTGCGCTTGCCAGGCAGGCGTTTTGCCGCTGAGCTAAATCCCCAGCCCCCATCCTCATTCATCTTATTCACTGGCTCTCCCACAGTATGACTGCTGGCTCTTCCTGAAAATCAAAATGACCATGACAGAGAAACATTTTGAATCCATTCAAGATATGGAAGCAGCCACAACAATGCAACTAAAGACACACACAGAGGAAGAATTTCAGAACTGCTTCAGAAAGTGGCAAGAATGATACAGTAAGTGTGATCCAAGGACAGGGAGTATGATGGGGAGCATTGATGGCAACGTGCCTTTTATTATAATAATTCACCAAAGTTTCAAACCATGGTTTTCAATCACATCTCACATGTTCCTAGCATCACTGTTCACAACAGCTCAAAGGAGAAAACAACCTAAGTGTTCCTTGACACAAGAATGGAAAAACAAAATGCAGTATATGGGTATGAGGGAGCATGAGTCAGCCTTAGAAAGGAGTGA